ACTCTACACAGGTCTCCCCTTGAAAATGAGACTCCTGTTGGTGCAGAATCCCTCAGTTCAGTTATTATTGGGAGCTAAGTGGAGCAGGCATATTACACACAGCCTGCAGCCACTCCATTGGCTGCTCATCAGTTACTGAGATCAATTTAAAGTAGCTACATTCCAGGCCAGTAGCACCCCTAGAGACCAACAAGTTTTTCTTATATAAAGTCTTTCATGGCCTTGGGCCCTCACACCTGCTAGACCGCCTCCTCACCTATGGCCTTGCCACAACAACTTTGATCATCTGAGCAGGGTCTTCTGTAGGTGCCACCCTGTCAGTGGGCAAGACCAAAAACTGCCCCCACACCTGCCTTCTCTGTATTGACCCATAATCTGTGGAATGGCCTTACCTGAGGCTCCCACACTCCTGGCATTTTGCAAACTATGTAAAGCACACTTGTTCAGGAGAGCATTTTTATGTCGGAAATATTTTATGTAGGAAATATTTGCTATATCGTAATAGACTGCTCCTGGAAAGTGCACTGTGTTTCCACTTATGTAATAACCATGCCCTGCATTGTTCAATATGTCATGTTTAATATTTACATTCTATTCAGACAGCAGGTTTGTTTCCAGCTTCTGCAATCCTACTCCCCTCATATCGTTTATCAGAAGGATCCACCTATTGACTGCATTGATTTACATTTAAAAAATCCGCCTTGAGTCTCAGTGAGAAAGGCAGGCAACAAATACTGTAAAATAAAGATAAACAATGCCCCGCCCTTCTTCATAGCCTCTGCACTCTCATCCCAGCACTAGGTGGCTGCTCAGAGGGTAGCAAGTTGGCTGCAATGGGGTGAAGGTCTTCTTGACTCCCTTTTCTTCACGACCACCTGGCCCTTCCTCTGGGCTCCTGGGCAATTTCATTCTCTTGCCTGAGCTGCAGTGCCTCATGCTTGAGAGAGAGTGGGAAAGGCAGAAAGGGAAGCCCTTCACCTCACTCCAGATACAAAAAGGCT